AATGAAATATTTTAGTCTAAAACATATGAAATATTATTTGGTTAATCCATAAACAGAACCAAATGTTTCAAAACCGAATAACCCAAAACCAATTGAACTTGACCTTATTATGTTTGGTTATGGTTATTTTTTTTTTAAATAGAATAAACCGAAACCCGATTAAACCGACCGAACAATACCCCTAATTTTAACAACCTTTATATCGTTTGTTTAACAAGTGTTATTTTAATATAACTTTTTGGTAGCTTTTAGATTATTTTTATTTTAAAGAGAATATTGTATGATAATAACGTAAAAATACAATAAAATAATAGAAATATAATACTATGTGTCACACAGAAACTATTTAATTTAAATTATACTAAGATAATATTAAAAAAAATTAAAAAGAAACTCTTTATATTTTGATCATATATCTGAAATAGTTCTCGGTGACCGGATTAATATGTAAAATTGTCAAAATGCAAACAATGGTCGGTTTTTGAGACTTAATTGACTAAAAAAAAAGATAAGGACTAAATCGTTAATGGATTCAAAACATAAAAACTTTTCAGTAAATTTTCCTTCATTTATAGTATTGTACTTTGTAAAAGTCACAATTTTGACATATTTGTTTGGGAAATTGTCAGAAAAATCCCAAAATTTTTGAAAAAGTTACACTTTAGTCTCAATATTTTTTTTTGAACATAAAAGTTCCGATTATTTCATTTTGGCTCAAGTTTACAAAAAAAAATCATTTTTTTCATTTTACTAGAAATGACATATTATCGTGTTTTTACAAATAATCGGGACTTTTATGTTCAAAAAAATCTTTGGACTAAAATGTAACTTTTCTGAAAATATTGACACTTTTCTGATAATTTTGCCTATTTGTTTAGGTTATAGAGAAATGACAATTTTTAACTTCACTTATAGCACTATAAGATGGTCACAATTTTATAAATTACATCCACTTGTTTTCATTTTATTGTGAAAAGTTTATCCAATTATGACAATGTCATCTAAATACAAACAAGTAGATTTTACAAAGTATGATTTTTTTAATAAGAATAAACAAATTAAATTATTTTTCTTTTCTTGCAAATAATCTTAAAAGATTTAGGTCTAGTTTTTTTAAGAGGACTAAATATGACAAGGCTTGTTGTTCAAAAAAAAAAATGGGGACAAGGCTTACGAGCCTTTTTCTTTTAGACCGATCGGAGTGGGCAACGGGGAAGCGCGTTATGGCCATGTGGCACCTAATAACGGCGCCATAACGGGAGGAACACCGCCCCTAGCCGTTATTAGGTGTTACGTGATAACACGTTATGGTGAACACGGGTTACGCCCATTTTTTCATATCTTTTTTCTTCAACGGTCATAATTTCGACCGTTTTAAAAACAGTAACCTATTAAAAAAATCAAGTTTTATTTATAGTATAAATACACTCAATTTATATCATTTTTACCTACAAATACATAACTTTCTCTCATCTACATATTTCTTTCAATAATTCAAAACCAAAATATGGATCGTTTTCATCCAGCCCGTACAACGATGATAACGACGAAGACGATATGTTCGTGAGTATGATGTATCAGTATTATACAGACAGACTACTACAGCCAGATCCAGCTCCACAACTCACGCGACGTGCGGCGTTAAATAGAGATCGTGAGGAAGGGCATAGACAGCTAGTTAACGATTACTTTGCGGATAATTGTGTCTACCAGCCAAGCGATTTCAATAGAATGTTTCGTTTGCGAAAAAATGTGTTTGAAAGAATAGCCAACACCATGGAAGCAAGGTATCGTTTGTTTCAACTTTTCTAATTTATAAATGTCACTTTTAGATAAAATAAATACAATTTTTACATGTTAAATATATATTTAGGTATGAATTTTTCCAATTGAGATATGATGCTAGAGGTAAACAAGCCTTCACAGGGTTGCAGAAATGTGTTGCTGCAATTAAACTTATGGCAATGGAGGAGTCACCCGATTCTTTTGACGATTATATGAGAATGTCTGAGAGGACCGCACGAGAAAGTTTGTATTTATTGGCAAAAGGTGTTGTCGAAACCTTCGGTGACCAATACTTGCGCAAACCTTCGTTGCATGATATGCAACAACTATATGCGGCGCATGAAGAAAAACATGATTTTCCAGGTATGTTTGGGAGCATTGACTGCACACACTGGAAATAGAGAAATTGTCCCGTGGCGTGGAAAGACCAGTATTCGAGCGGTCATCATGGAGCGCCTTCGTTGGTATTAGAGGTTGTTGCTTCACAAGATTTATAGATTTGCCATGCTTATTTCGGGGTTGCGAGTTCTAACAACGACGTCAACGTTCTCGATCAATCACCAATATTTGACGATCTTTTGTCAGGAAAAGCCTCAGATGCTCCTTTCACAGTGAATGGAAATGAATATAAGTTTGGGTATTACCTTACACATGGAATATATCCACCATATTCCACATTTGTGAAGGCGTTTCGACACCCAATAGACCTAAGAGACAAATATTTCAAGAGACGACAAAAAGGAGCATGTAAGGACGTTGAACGTGCTTTTGGGCTTTTGAAATCGAAATGACACATAGTTGAACATGCGGCGAGACCTTATGAGTTAGATATTCTACGAGATATCATGTATGCGTGTATCATAATGCATAGCATGGTTGTCGAAGATAAATGAGGCAATATTGCAACGTATTCGCCTACGGAACCTAGACATGTGCAATTTCAACCAGGGACATCGGAATATTTACATAGAGTGGTTGATATTCAAAACCAACAAAAACACAAGCAACTCCATGAAGACATGGCAGATTACATCTATGTTGGTCATGAAGATGAATAGTTTTAGGTCAAAAAATGTAGGTTTTATCATCTTTTTTTTTTAGGTTTTTAAACGTTTGTCTTTTGTTGTAATTATTTTAATGTTGTTTTTAATTTACGATTTATTAAAATTTTATTTTTACTTTTCAAATGTTATTTTTAATTTATATGATAAATATAATTATTATGATATAAATAAAAAAACAAATTCGAAATATAGAAAAGAAAAACATCAAAAAGAAATTAAAAAATAAAGTAAAAAATAATTGGTGTTATCACATGTTATTAGATGTTGTCCATTTCCATCTTGGTGTTATAACACCCATGTATGAGTAGGATGCTGACGTGACACCTTTTGGGTGTGGTAACATGTAATAACATGTTGCCCACATCTAGTAGTCTTACATCGTTGGTCCCTCGATTATTGCCGAGTTTTTCAATTTCGGTCCCAAAAATTTCTTTTTTTAATTTTGGTCCTTATTTTCATTTTTCGTAAATATATTATTCCTTTCCAGGTAAAATGAATTTATTATAAGTTTTGGTCCATGATTATTGCTATATTTGCAGTTTCGTTCCCATAAAAAAAAATGTTTGTCTTGTTGTTTATAGTTGTCTATAAGGATATTGGTCCAAGTTCCAAGTAAAATATTACCCTTTATATACTTCAATATTTACTTATTTCCTAAATATTTATATTATTATTATATTCTCTTTGGCTCCGCCACCCCATCCTAACACCATCCGAGTACCGAACCGAATTAACATTATGGGTACCGGTACCGAGAATGGTATTGGTTTTCGGTACTAGCACCGGTACCGATGGTGCCGAATTCTGATTTTTGTAATTTTAGAGTATCGAGTACCGTCTTGTATTTTTAAATTCGGTATGGTTTGGTACCGGTACGGATCAGAATTTGATACTAACTGCTCATCCGTGCGTGATCACTTTTTGAACGGTGGACGTTCGGTTTTTATAGTTTGTTTTGATCTCTCTTTCTTCTTCTTATTACTTTTTTTTTGGTTTTAGATTTTTTGTTTTGGATTTCATATTTGGTATTTTATTTTTGTTTCATCGTTTGAAGTATACCAACTAAAGATGAATATGGGTTTTATTGATGATGATGTTTGTTTTTTCTTTTTTTTAAGACAGACGATTTTGTTAAAGACAATTTCTAAATTTTTTATTATAGACAATCCGGGTCTTTTTGAAGACGATGTTATGGTTTTAGTTTGCACATTATATGTTATACTAATTTTTATAAGTTATCATATAATGTGCAAACTTAAATCCTTTCCAAGGTCCTGAAACTATTTTTGGTATGCCCTGCAACCACCTTTTCCGATATATAATTATCATCTATCATCGAAGAAGTCATTAGTGATGTAGGTGAGCAATGATGAATCGAAGAGGACTAGTATGTGTCTGATGAATCAACGTATAACACATTTAGTAAAGAAGTAATGAACTCCAATAACTATTATCAACGTTGTATTTACAACGGTGATAAGAGAAAGATAGAGGTGGCTGGCTCTGTGTTTTGTGGGTTGTTGATGTGGGAAAGAAGAAGGTTGCCTCCAAGGCATTGTGATTCTTGATATGTGAAACAAAAATGGCGCTTTAGGCAATATAGCTTTTGACTCAAGCGGGTGGTGAGAATAGAAGCTGATTGAGTTGCAGGCAAGGAGAATGATTTTTGGGGGAGAGATGAAAGAAAACGAAGGAACACACTTTTGGATTTCATTAAAGTCAAGGATAATCGATTTTCTCCTTTAAAAACTTGAAATGTTTAAATCCGATTAACACCACATATTCCCTAAAAAACAAGAAAACAACTTCAGAGACCTTTTAAGCTAATTTGAAAAACTTTGTTACCAATTACCAAAGAGTAAAATTAACCCTTAAAATGAATTATGTAGGTATTATTTATCTACGCTATATTTAATGTTAAGTTTACCGATAAATTGGATACACTTAACAACAATTTTAGCGTAACATTTAAGTTTTAGTTTGAATCTGTAGAAGCTTTTAAACCCGAATAAAATCCTCAAAACCTACATCAATTTGTAATATACATGCATAAAAAAGATAATAACAAAGCCAAAGTAAGGTAACAAAATAGGAGAAAAAGGTGAAAAACCATGCCAGGAAGATTGAGAAAGCAACGTTATAATTTCAATATCAAAAGCAAGCTCCAAAATTCAATCCCTTCACCAAAACATCAAATTTATGTAAATTGAGTTTAACATCAAAACTTAAAATCTCATCCTACATGGGTGATTATCTCCACCCTTAAACCTTAATAGCATATTTCCTCAATGGGAAGTACTTCTCCTTTTTCTTCTCCCTTTCAGTCTTCAAAGAAACCTAAATTAATCAAATGGTAAACATTACATGTTTATAATATGAATTCGAAAGCAATTTTTTTGTATGATCACAATTTCTTTCATAACAGAAAAGCCACTGAATGATACCTGATGCTTGGTTAAACGCCTGCGAATGGCTCTGGTTTTCTTAGGGCGCAAATCAAGAGGTAAGTATTTCTTGTTCTTGTAGGCTTCCCTGAGTTTTGCTTTCTGTGTCTGTGAAATAACAGTCAGCACCTGTGCAATTGATGTCCTCACCACTTTTCTGCAACCATGATTATATAAAATCATCAAGAACAAAGAATATATTGAAACTAATACCAAACATCACAAGTTCAAATTGAACAATCTTTAAGAGGAAATAACGAAAAACAGATATTTGAAACTTAAGAAGCAATTCAGTACTTGATAAGAATCGATTTAAAAGCCCTGGATCAAAAAATGTATAGTTTAATTGATCATTTTTTCGGTCCTGATATCGAGTTTTTTTAAATGCGTAGCCAATTTCATATCCAGATGATGTACATTTAACATTGATCCAAACGAGTTACTTGTAGACAGAGTTTAAGTGAGAAATGTCAGAAGAGAGAAATTACATTTTGGAGAGCTTGTTGGGAGCACCGCCGGTGACTTTGGCGACACGGAGAAGAGCGAGCTCAGCCTTAAGATCCTTCAACTGAGCAAACAAATCAGCCTTCGTTTTGTCCCTCAACTCATGAACTTTGATCCGAGCTGCGTTTCACGTAACAAATGATGAATAAATCGAAAGCGAGAAAGATAATGAAAACGTCAATGGAAAAGAAGGAACTTACCCATGGATTATGCGTTAATTTTAGGAGCCGCAGCTTCAATGGAGAGTTCTCTCAAAACCCTAATATCTAAAAAAGACGAAGAAGGATTGTGTAACGAGGCTTTTGTATATAATACAAGTATGGGCCCAAACCCTTTTGTCTGTTCTAGTGTAAACTAAAAGCCCATTTCGGCCCCTTAGAACATATATGTCTATAACAAACGTGTATGTTTAGATAAGATTATACCTACATTCAAAAAAAAAAAAAAAAAAAAAAAAAAAAAAAAAACTACATTCTAAAATGAACACGTATAATTATATAGTTTGATCATATAATTTAGTTTTATTTTGAATATGAACCTTAACATACCTAACAAATGTAAATTTATTGCCATTAAATGATCCTAACTTGCATTTACACCCTAAGGATATACACTATCTTACGTTTAGGCATTCACAAGTCACAACTCATACTTATGCAAAATATGATATCTTAATATACAAATTCGTTTACGCTAACATTTTTATACATAATGAAAGTTGAAAAACTATACCAGAACTTATCTTTCATACATATGATGTAATCGTTACTTGTTAACATAATATAATGTGCACATACTTATTCCATCGTATACTTTTCAAACCCATATATTTATCTTAACACAATCATAATACTATACATTTTACTACCATACATTTGATCATGGTAACATATACATTTTACTCTTATCCGTCTAACCTACTCTTTACAAAACAACCAACTACCATACGTTTTTCAGCATATAAAAATGTATATTTTACTTAGTGGCGCTCATATAACATCATTCATGGAATTATCTTTCTTTTTACATGTAATTATTTCCAAATATTATTATGATTTAAACTGGAATCATGGTTTTAATTCCGTATCAAACTTTGTTGACACTTTCACCCATTACAGCAACAATTAAGCAGATATGAGCATTCCAGAGGTAAGTAAATAATCACCACTCAAAAGGTTTAAAAAAAAAAAAAAAGTGGTACAGATAAATGCACTTCACTACAGAGTCAAAATCTTTAACAACTTAACAAGTACCCAAAACACAGAACTAAGATAAGTCACGATTCTACAAGGATTCACAAACAATTGAGTAAATTCCATAAAAACATCTGTATAATTACAATAAAACATCTAACTGATAGAAGGCTGCTATAATAAAATCAAAGTCAATCCCATATATCATCATCTCATCTGCATGCAATAAAACCCAGGTTCAGTCACCAGATTGTATAAAAAAGACAAATATACCCATTTAGCTTAACATCAATATCATCAGCTTCAGCATTACCTTTATCTTAAACAATCTTATTTCTAACTTCTTCCAGTTTCTTCAAAATTTCTCCTGGAGTCCTGTCCAGTTCATCCGCAATTTTCCTCTGTATATCCAAGGGCAATGTCGGAAATTGTTCACACAGGTCTCCATCAATCACATCCTGCACAAATAATCCACATTTTAAAGTGTCACGAGCATAAACAAACACTTCATAGAGTAAATTACAATTTTGGTCCCTAAGTATAACTGATTTTTGCAATTTTTGATCCAAAAACGTTTTACCTTGCAATTTTGGTCCGTTATTAGAGGTTGTGGTAACGTTTTTGGTCTTTTTTCAAAGTAAAATGACTTTCTCTATTTTATAAAAACAGGGACCAAGAATGTAACTTTCTGTATTTTATAAAAAAAACAGATCAATACTTATCGATGATTACCTTAACAGGAAAATAAGCAGATCTATACGCCATATGGTCTCTCCCACACAAAGGCGGATGCTCCTGTCTCATATGCATCTCCAAATGTGAAAAGAAGTCCACATCATCACGCGAGCTAAATGCCAATAATGCCCCTAGACTACCCATCACAGTTCCATACATGACACACTCCACGCCACCTGGAATCAAAGATGCTTTCTGCAAACATGTGACCACATCACCAACATGAAACTGAACAATCTCCTCAACTTTATTCGGGGCTCCATTAAGCTTCCCTTGTTCCCATTTAATCTTCCCACCAGTTGGATCTTCTTCAATCTCATCTGAAACATCTTGTGGCAAACGAACAAAGTAAATGTTCCCAAATTTGTCTGCACCTGCCATGGTGTCAAAGTCCACATGGTATGCTGCTGTTAGCCACCTTGGAACAGAGTCATCAGCAAACACATACAGCTGGTTTTCATCGCGTCTGTATTTGCAATAGTGAAACGACTGAAACATAAAGAAAAACAAAAGAAACATTCAAATGTCAGAAAAGAAAGAAGACTTCAAAAAAAAAAGATAAAGTTAAAGATAAAAAAAAACAAACCTCTTGAATGTCTCCCACATAGATTCGATCACGATACGTATGAATGGAATTGATGGTGTTTGGAAACAACTTGTTTTCACATTTTCTAAGCAGCCTTCTTTTCCCCAAATCATAAAGCCTAAGAATAGATCCAATTCCAGCAAGCAATCTTCCTTGAAACTGACACAAAGCAAGTGGGACCCCATCAACTTGTGTTTTATGTAAAAGTTCAAGCGACCTTCCATCTTTTACAAATCTATAAATATGAATATATCCAGCAACTAAAGATTTTTTAGGCCAAAACTGTAAACCCTTTGCTGTCCCCACAGCTAAAAGTGTCCCATACTCCTTATCATGAAAATTCACAGTACAAAGACTAAAAGCTGCCTCATCATCTTGAAGCTCCAATAAACAAGTAGTTTCAGTTGACTTTGGGTCAAGAACCCTGATACAAGATACCCATTTATCCGCTTCAGCTTTCGGGTACCCATATTGCTCATCGGATAACGGGTCGTCTTTATCTTCATCATCATTACCGTTTTCAATCTCCATTTTACCATTTTGCCCTTGACCAGCTGCTTCAAAACACTCCTTTTTCGCACTTTCACGTAATTCTGCCGGAAACGCCCCTTGATCACTTTCAATCGTCACCAAAAGTTTCTTTTTAGGATGAAACACAAATTTTCTTGGAGTGTATCTTAAAGGAATAGAGGTTTCATTAAAAGTTTCACCTAATCTTTCGATTGTGAAAACCCTTAAAGCATCACCAGCAACCGCAACAACACCTTCAGCACATTGATCAGATGAAAAAGAAGCTGCATATTCTAGGGTTTCATATGAAAGAGGGGTTAAAAGAAAGTGACCCTGGTGAACATAACCTAACCATGGTCTACTAGACAAACAAAGCATAGCACGTCTCCCTCTCACCAAAATAGAAAACAATTTAGGAGCTCTGAGCCCTAGAAATCGGGATCTTGCATCTGAAAGCTGACCTGTCACCATGTCCACCACTGTCCTAAAAAGAACCCCACTCTGTAAACCCGCGTTTAAAAACAAACTTGCAGGGTGATCTGCACCATCTTCACCACCTATAGAAGCTTGAACTTCAAGAAACAGAAGTGATTCAGGAGGTGAAGAGACACTCTGTAAGCTCAAAACCTGCATACAGTCATCAGGATCTAAAGACAAGATTCTGATGGTTTTATCATATGATCCAACTGCAAGAAACCGGGATCTTTGTCTTCCTTCAGGGACAGGAGCTATATCCAAACACGCCACGTCACCCGACATTTCGTTCTTTTCAACTTCCATCAACTGTCCAGTCATGTCTACTTCAAAGTATATAATCTCACCTCCACTTAATGCGATAACAACTTGAAGTCTATTCGATCCGACTTTCACAATTGTTCTTTTTCCAGGTGTTCGCCATTCGTTTATACGTCCATCTTCTCTTATATGTCTAATACCACTTGGATGTACTTGCATTAAAGAATCATCACCTATTAATGAAACAGCAAGTGAAGGTGTCGTATCAAGAAACCCACTGTCACTAACTTCTTCAACAGTTTCACCAATAGAAAGAACAAGTGTTGCATTTGCAAATGAGACCACAATGTAAGCATCAAATTCATCATTCACGTTCTTCTTAACAGTCCATACTGCACTTGGAACACCGGGAAGTTGTGACACAGCCATTTCACTGATGGCTAACCCTGGTCTTAGTATTCTAAGAGATGAACGTGGGCCCCGACCACAAAGGGTAAAAATTTGAGGAGTTTCTTCTTCGAAAAGATTTACAACTTTCATGTCCATAATGGGCATTAAGCTTTCAACTTGGTCGATTCTAACAAGATTTTTAAGACCTCTAGGCTTGAAGAACACTGGTTGGAAACCTTCCTCGGTTTCCATTAATGTAGCTGATGATGATTCCACATCAGGGTCAGCTCCAATGGCTTGGAATTGATACAAAGCATGATTCCCGAATTCTGATGCAGCAAATAGAAACCCTAGTTTCATAACACACATTGAAGATGAGACGGGTATGGTATCAAAATACTTTATTTTTAACTCTGTAACACGTTCGTTATCATGATCGAGTGTGACCTTGAAGACATCCCCATACTCGGTTTGGAGAAGAAAGAAGAACATTGACTTTTGTTTGTGCATAGTGGCTGAAACTATAAGAACCCCACGTTCAGCAGGAAGATCTGCCCTTCTAGGAATCACTGCCCGAACATCTGGATGACCTTGATTCTTGTAGATGACGAAATTTTCAGCACAAACAAGAACACCACTTGGACCATCACCACCACCAGGGACAGTTACCAGCATGTTAGCACCATTGTCAACTTGCTCAGACCATCTCCTTGAAACATGATTAAGCCCCAAATCTAGTTCATAGAAGGTAAGATGTTTTTGAGCCTCGTTTGCAGCTTGACCGGTGGAATCCTGGTCAGCCTCTGAATAATCCAACTCTATAGCAGCAAATATAGGATTATCGAACCCACAATCAACCCCCGCGATCGAGTAAGTAATTGTGTGTGACTTGTGTGCCTCTAATGGCGAAGAAATAGTTAACCTAGCAGCCGTATCTCTGTTAAGAACATAAACGAGCTTTTGCTTTTCACAAGCACCAATCATAACAGCGCGACCTTTTGGGTCAATTGCTAAATACTGCCCCGGGACGATTCTACGACTTCCAGATTTCCCGAAAGTTTCCTGATGAATTTTGTCGAACACATTTTTCTCCTTGTTATATTCGAGAATGACGATACGACCAGAGTCGGAGCC